ACTTAGTCTTTTAGGCTAAAGTATTAATTTTGGGAAAAAGGTTTAAAGTGCAACATTCGGACTCCTTTACTCCAAATGCAGCATTTTGCTCGTTTGTTCAACTATTCAATAAAATATGAGTTTCATTGCTGAAGATAGTTTTTTCGAAGAAATAATGGATTTTTTCGGTCTTTTCTAGAAACCAATTTGGAAAAATAAATAGTAAATGCGGTTAAAATTTTGAATCAACTGAATTCTATAATGCTTGTAACTGAAATCCTATAAAGACTAATATTCGGAATGTACTTCAAAGAGACTTACTCTTGTAAACAATATTTGCAATTCCTGTCCTCTATATATACTTCATAAAAAATATATATATACATTAGAAATATAATTGTTCATGATTATTTGCTATGAAAGATGTCCAATCTCATTTGATAAGCCAAATTTGTTGACTTTCTATTACCTGCAATGTGCAAATGACAATGTTTACTACTGCAAAAGGAGAGAAAATTGAAAGCAGAGCAAGCATTGTTGCGTTGCAAATCTCCATTTCAATGCTTTAAGTTGCTATAAAAAAATGTAACTATGTGTACGTACATCAAAGTCATATTGGAGGAATGTAGCTGCATACATATACAATACTTGATCTAGGCAAGATTGTTACTTGCTCGTCGACAATGTTAGAGAGAAACAGAAATTTAAAAGCACGTCCCCTCAAAGCGAATGGACTTTTTGATCCTCCTAATCTGAAAAATTAATATCTTCCAATAGCTGCTCCAAAAGCATTTGATGCTTTTTAATTCAGCTGCATGCAAGCGAATCCAAGCAAAAAATCCTTGCCACCATTGGTATGTATGTAATAGGTATTAATAAAAACTATCAAGTTTCACTTTTTAATGTTTTACTAAATATCAAACTTTATTTTTTAACTTTTAATGAATAATGAAAAATAAATAATTAAATTTTTAATGCGCATATAACATTTTTGTAATTAATTTTAAAAAAAGTTAATTTTGACAACTCAGTTTGTTAAATTTATAAAATTTACACTTCACTCCAACATTTTTGAAATTAATGTATCTTTTCCTGTGTTGTGCCCATATGTTAAGTCATGAATTATTCACATTGGAACTTTTCGACCACCATTAGATTAGATACTGTTCATCATCATCAAAAAGATATACTTTGTCATAAGTACCGTAACTGTGTAAAGAATTGAACAAATGGACTTTGACATCTGGACCTTCATTATCTATTTTTGGATAGGAAAGTGCATGTCCTGTTTAGCGCAGACAATGTATTGAAATCCTTGATTCCACTTTTTGATACAGGAAGTTGTATAAAAATATAATTTTTGTTTTATACATTGTAATAAATTTTATATAAATAATAATTAAAATTAACTGTGCTTTCTGCTTCGCAGCTTTGTGTTGCGCTCATTATTGCTGCTGTTGTTTGTTTAGTGTATCCTTTTGGTTTTTAAGATGACCTGCCCATTTAAATGCATTTTACTCTCCATGTTTTTTAAATTAGAAGAAAAGGCAAACAAGGGGATTTTTTTCCTTAAGAAAGCAAATCAAAGAAAGTATATATCGTTCCTATTTCGACTAAAAGATATAACTTTTTAATAATTTTTTTTTTTTATTCTATTTATTTATTTTTTATTATTTAATTATCATTATTCATTTTTATTAATTTTAATATATTATTAGCAAAATTTCTAATTAAATGCATGTTAAACCAAGTAAGAAAGTTATATTATGCTTTTATTTGCTGCAATAAAAATGCGAATGGGAAAAGATTTATCTTTCACCTTTATATATTCGTTCTCATTTGTTTTGCATGTATTGTGCCGCTTTATAAAATAAGCGTATACAATTATCAAGAATTTTGCATGATTGTGCCGCTTTATAAAATAAGCGTATATTCGTTCTCATTTGTGGTGGATATAAATATAAAACTGGTACAGTGTTGTCAAGTTTTTGGCAATGTTCGTATATTTTAAGGTGACCTGACTTTCACCTAAGTTTAATAAAACGTGTAAATTTTTGTTTAAACCAATTGGTTTAATATCGCACGCAGTCAAATAATGATGATAATGAAAATGAATAATAATGATAATGAGACTGAACTCACCTCAGTAAGTCATACGTTGATGTGGTGATACGCAGAAAAAAAAGAAGATGCCCTGCGTAAAACAGCTGGAGTGAGTTCCTTATTCACCAAGTCTTAAATAGTCAAAATAAGATAAATAAATAAATAAACATACAGGTGCAACAATGGCCAGTGATTGGTAGAAAAACATTTATGATTTAATTATTACTACAATTTTTTAGTGATTGTGTACTTTTTAGGGAGTGTGTACCACGAAGTTACGAAGTTACCAAAAACTATTTACAAAGTTTTCATACATTCGATCATCCACTAAAAGTGTCTACAGTCACTATGGTTGATAGTAAAGGTACGCGTGTAAGTTCCTCAAGCATTTCACTTCTAAATGATCCGTTACTGTTAACTTTGGATGGTACGGATCCTCTGTCACAGTTTGCGCGACAGGAACAAGAATTAATAGATCCTTTGACACAAATGGCTTCAGAATATGTAGGTGTGAGTAGCTCTCAAAATTAATAACCAAAGATTTAAATTTGTTCTTCTTTCTAAGGAAACGTTTCAAAAATCAAAAACTAAAAAACGTGAAAAAGACGTTAGTTTAGCAGATGATAGCTTCAACTGGAATGCGAAGCGTTTAAGTATATTAAATAAGTTTACCACTTCGGAAAAACTGTCAATTTCTACAAGTTTTTTAAGTGTGAGTAATGCAGGAACGGGTACAGATGCTAGTAAGTTCAAATTTGCACGACAATTTTCCCTTTTTATCTTACCATTAATCAAAAACAATTATAGTTAAAGTTCACACAGTCGTCTCGGATAAATTGAAATTTCGTTTGGAACAACTGGATGATTTTGAAGATACGTCGATACGTCATTTAATGGATTTAACTCAACAAGATTATATACAACGTATCGAACAGTTAAATCAAGAATTAGTTCAATCTTGGCATAATGATCAACGCGTGAAAGCTCTAAAAATTGCTATACAATGTTCTAAAATGTTATCAGATACTTCAGTTCTATCATTCTATCCCAGCCAATTCGTGTTGATTACCGACATCCTGGATATCTTTGGCAAGCTGGTATATGAACGTCTCAAACAAAAAGCTTATTCCGGACCAGAGTAAGAATAATTAAAATATATATATATATTTACTTATATATACGTATATATACGCATATATATACGCGTATATTGTAACACATAAATATGTTGGCCAAAGGATGCAATACAAAAAGAGCGTTATTAGTATGCAGAAATACGCACTGCATATATGTATATTTTCGATCAGCGTAATATTATTAGACAAGTAAGTTTTATTAGTTCGTCTATCATTTACTTCTTCAAGTTCAAATTTATTAAACTAACGAACGTGATGTTTGGAGTATTTCTAAATAAATTAGTAATAATAATATAGATAAAATGTGCCCATAAATAGCGAGAACTTTATAAAATACCGGAAAAACACAGAAAAATAAATCCGTCAATAACTTACGACAAATTAGCGGATATAAATATGAAACATCTATGCCCAGCCAGGAAACCATTACGATTCTCTGGTTGACGCTCGTAATTCATAAGAAACAAATAAATATTTCTACTCGCCACCAGAAATCAATACACATATATATAAGGAAAATTAAAATATGTAAATACAAAAAATACATAAGTAATACTAAATGTATGCATATTTCTATCATTAAATGTGGCTTTGTCACTGAACTTAGCCTAAAAAGCAAATGTAGCTAGTTTTAGGTCGCTACGTCCGCCGTCTGGCAAACTTTTTCATTGCTGTTTCATACTGTCATTGTAAATTTATGTAGCAACTTTCACACCGATGTAGGCTTTCAAGTATTATATAAGTTAAGTCTTCTTATTATGGTCACAGTTATGAGGACATCAATCATCTTTGCAAACCTCTTCTGTGGCCACCAATATTACCAAAACGTACCAACTTCAATTTCAACTTTTTGTTTAATTTTTGCGACTGTAAGCATTCCAGTAACAGGCAATCGGCCAAACAGCCCCAAACGGAAAATCGTTCGAAAAAATTCGAACTTGAACGCTATGCTGATCAAAAGTGTATATATATTTTATAAGGTAATGCATATTGCAGAACGACATGGCCATCCTTCAACGCACAAAAACTGCAAAAAGTTGAAGTGATAGATATGGGAAATTTATTGGAAAATCTATGTGATTACCTTATTTGTCGTTTTATCCTTGTGATGTAGGTCATCTCGCCAGCTAAACACTGAAAGTGCCCGTGATACTTGTCAAAATTGGTTTTTCAAGGTAGCTTCCATTAGGGAGCTACTACCTCGTCTTTATGTGGAGATAGCCATATTGAAATGTTACGAATTCCTAAATGAATGGTAGGTACAAAATAAGTAAACTTAAAATATTTTTTCACCAGTGTCTTCTCAGTTCTTATGAAAATATATTACAACGCTTAACGCTCATGATTCGTGGAATTGGAGATCCTTTAATAGCTGTATACGTACGATGTTATCTGGTAAGAATAGGTGCAACTGTCACATCTATCAAAGAGTACATGTACAATAATTTCAAGGATTTTCTCACAATCTACCAATCTAACCAAATGGTAAGTTACGTTTTTATTTTTATGAATTGCTTTACTAGTTTTAATAGAAGGTAAATTTAGTTTGTTAAATATCTTTTTCTTCGCAATGATACAAGAATATGGTGCGCACAGTTCAGTGTAGGATTCGTGCATTTTTCTCATTGTTGTAGTCAACTTGTGACACGGAGCATTGTTTTGGTGAAAGGTCATTTTTTCGTCTTCATTCGAGGCCCTTTTTTTGCAATTCGCTCACTCAAACGTTGCAATGTAATAGTCACTCCTGATCATTTTTTGGACGCTTTGGATAGCTTCCAATGGCAATGCTTCATCCATTGTCGCACATCGTATGAAAACATCTGCTTTATTTCGTCCAAATTACTTCAGGCAGGCGGTACACACTTCGAACAGGGCTTTCGCATGAACAAATATTTATGTAAAATAGTTAACACCCTGCCTTCTGATATTGTTAAGACGTCAGCTATCTAACGCAACTTCACTTTTCGGTCTTCCAAAATGATTTTGTTCATTTTTTTATGTTTTCTGGAATAACTGCCGAAAAACCGTCCGGATGGCAGGGCGTTCAGCATCAGAGGTAATTGTGTGGCCGCGTTTAAAACCGGCCACACAACCGGCCGGTCCTTTAGCGTTTGTTCATGGCAGTTTCCAAATAATACTTTTCGACCCATTGCTTTGTTTCGCCGATATTTTTCTGTATTAAAAGGCAATGCTTTATATTAATATTCCAAACTTAGATTCTTCCACTGCTTTGAAAATTACAAAAATTTATGCCACTAAAACGACTCTTAGTGTAGTGGTCTTAATGTCGTAAAATTCTGACATATTTCTTTTGAAAGTTGGTGCTATCCTAAAGTCAACTGGATTCCTGAATGATGGCGTCATCCATACGTCATTATACGATCATATTAAGTGGTTTTTTAATAAAGGTTTGAAGGTTTTAATAATAGTGAGAGTTTTTCAAGAAGAAAAAAATTGTAGTAATAGCCAGTAGTAAAAATACAATCGTACCAAAAAAGCTATGCAGTCTTTGTATGCACAAAAGCATAAAAAATGATAACTTAAAAAAAGGAAAACACAATTGTTAAATTGTATTTCTGAGCTGTAAGAAACTTTAATTGCTCTTAATGTTGAATGGAAATAAGTTCCTTATCACTTTAGCAAAGAATAAACTTAATCATAGGAAGTATATACGATCCGAAAGCACTAAATTCTTCGCCCTATGGCCCTTTTAATTGTAAACCGATGTGATTTAAAAGAACTGGCCATACAAAAACGAATTGGTATCGTATAAACTGTAACTTTAATAAGAACGATTTCGTTTAATATGTGCAGAATTCAGCTGAATTTCCCAATTCGTACATTTGAACACTTAACCTAAATAAAATTCAAGCAAAAAAATTCATAAAGCAACAGACAATTAATACAAACATATAAGGAAATAAACAATCAATTAATCATCAAAATCTGTGTGAGGATAACACGTTGTAACTATTAGTTTGCGTAAGACTAACCGTTGGCTAAGTTTAATAAAAATAAAGTTCCTTGTTCGGGCGGATGGGACAGTTACAATTAATCGGCCTGAACAAAAATGACGACTCAGTGGCATCTTTAATCGGTTTCAGCATGAAAGTAATGTCTAATACCATTCTATTTTTTTAAAAAGGGAGGAGTACGTTTAGATCCCAAGGCAAAAATCAGACGACACACTGCTTTTGAAAAGATTCATTGAAATTCACATAGCAACGATACGACGGTGACCATACGATAGAGACGTACTCCAATACAGAACGCATTAAGCTCACGCATAAACTTCTCGTCACATATGGGTCATCAAATTCCCTCGACCGCGACTGGATAAAGCCTAATACTGATCTAGTTTTATTCACAGGCAACGCACTAAGTTTGGCAATTCCTATATAGTTTCCAAGATGATGCCTATTACCACTTTTATAAAGTGGAAGAATGAAAGTAGCTTTTTAACAGCTAGAAAACGTATGCACATCAAAAAACCCATTGAAAATGAATGTATTAATCCGAGGCATTTCATCTGCGCAATTTTTGAAAATACACGAGAGAAGCGCATCCGAGCCTGGCACACAACTATAGTTTAAAGATCGTAGAATTTGTAAAATTTCATCATAAGAAATAATTGTGGATGGATGGGAATGCATTCATTCAGCTGGTATTCTAAGGGAAGGGCTAAAGTTGCGAGAGACGAAATTACATTGAAAGAAAGTAGCAAACAAGGTTGATATCATAGATCCATCCGACGTTTCAAAACCATCAAAAAAAAAAATATCCGAAGGAAAAGCCGTGACTTTTTTCTCAGAATTGACGAATTTATAAAAACGATTAGGCTTACTAGTGGGAGAAGCTTTGATCTCAAGCAAGTGCCCAGCATAACGTTCTCTACTAAGTTCAGGGAAATTGCTACCGGCCACTAAGTACTTGACATAGTCAGGTAGTGCGTTACTTTTTCTTTCTTTTAAACAGTCTGCTCTCAGTATTTTTCAGCCACGTTAACTCACCAACGAACCAAAGTAGGTGGGGGCACATCGCTTTAAGGCGGGACAATGCCACAGATAGAAAAGTGGCATCATTAACGCTTTTATAGAGAGAGAAAGTCAACACATCTATATCTGTGAGGGATTGGTTTAGATTAAGACTCACTATCAATCTTTTAAAAACAACAAAATCAGTTTTATTAAAAGCATAGCTTGGGGAACCACGATTGGCGTTTGATGGGCCAGGCAGATTAACAGCGACTAACCGAGAGACCAAGCACATTAGCAAATGCTAGGTCCAAGATCCTATTATTTATATAAAGAAAAATATTTCACTGTACGGGCAGCCCCAATAGATTATTTTTCATTTCCATGCAACTTCAACGGATTAATTTTGTTCTTTTTTTTTTTTCAAAGTGTTGCTTAGCGAAGCCGTGTTCGAACTCGATAAAACAATTAAAAAATAGGCACCTGGTTATACACTGCAATCAACGTTGAATATTCAGCAGTGTCATATTGGAATTTCACATTACAGCAGCTGAAAAACCATTACCAAAGAATAAAGGATATTTTTATCTGAAAGTTATATAACAGCCTTTACAGTTCATAATCCATCCTCAATCCCTTTAAATTCAAATCCTATTTCTTACGATTCTTATCTTCATGGAGAGTTTCTTCCACTTCATGGGATCGACAAAAGAGACCAGCATATATTGGTTTCTCTTCCACAAAGCAATTCTTCTCCAAAAGGGAAAACTGTAACGTTTATAAAACGTCCTTCCTATGTCGTGTAAATCTATTGTTAATTATATAATTTTTTCTCAAATCAATTAGCGTAATGAAGAGTGGAGCAGGTTCGTTTTTATATAATTTTGTTTGTTGACAAGTTTGGTGTTAACATTATTTGTGTCATTCCATAAATCAGCAACTGTTAGTTGTGTAGATTTAGATTCTGAGGCGTTATTACGATTATTGTCAAATGTTATGCGAATGTTTTCACTAGTATAAAAATGGATGTTAGTTATAAATAAAAGTAACAATAGCTTACTCACTTTTTCTTCGTTACTGTTCTTCGATTACCCAATGAGTATCAGCCAACCAATAGAACGCCAAGAGACGTTAGATAAGTTAAAGTCACCGAGCACAATAATTACATCCACAATAATTACCACTTCACAAATGAGTGTTTGAGTCATGTTTATTGCAAACACTTATATCTAATTAATAAAAATTTTTCTCTGTGCGACTATCACACGAACGGCAATAAATTGTATATCCCAAAACACAGAGGAGCCAAAATGACACAAAAACAGGGGTATAACAATAGGGACATCACCACCGCTTTTCTTTGATCTGTCCTTCCTAACACATGAACACAAGCAAGAAAAAGCTCCGAGCTATATCTTTCAAGCTTCAGCCAAGTTTCCGTAAACGCTGATACTGAAAAATAATGGCTTAGACAAATAAGAAAAACTTGCCTCAGCTTTTAGTTAAGTCTATAACATTTTGGTAAATAATAGACAAGTAACACTTTGGTTATTTGAAAATATAGTAAATGTAGGGATTATCGTTAAGGTTTCAGAGAGAGATGGCCTCTCTGGCTATCTCCCGGTCTTTTTACACTTGGGATAATTACGGTCCCGTCAGGCCAGGAAATCTTATCTAAGATATTCCCTAGGGGGAAGGATTTTAAAAGCCGTAATACTCCTCTGCTGATCGGGCTTCAGCTTAAAGACCGCTAACCTATTACTATTGACGCTCAGCATAAGCAACTTAGTATTCTGAACTTCAGTGGACAGATCAAGCCTAGATAGAAAAACAGGTTTTCTCGAGGTTTCCGACACCAACCCACGCCTAACAAGCGGCTAAGAGAAATCCACAAGAGGGATAGTAGATGCAACAACAAAATCGAGAACTGAGAGCCAGTTACATCAGATGCCGAAGGTAGGATCAATAATAAAGGCACGTCAGTTGCCAATAGGCGAGTTACGTTTGTGCCAACCGTAGGAGACTGGGTCAAACACTGACTCGGGGAGGGATTTGGAGAGCTTAAAAACCTCCAGAGACAGAAGCAGTACCATTGCTTTTATTTTTACTTTTATTTTTTTTCTTAACGACAAGAATGACCACAGGACGTCCGGATCCCACTATATGTTTATCAGCGACACCAAGCAATTCGAATTTAAATCAGTGATTGTTACGCGTCTTAATTTAAATAAACGAGAAAAAATAACAATGTGAATAAAAACATATGATGATGCCAAGCTTATGAAGAAAATGTTTGTTTATAAATTTCTAACAAGGAATACAAAAGAGCGATATTATGTTATCTTAATGATGTCATTCTTCTTATTGAAATTGTTGTTGTTTTTGATGATGATGATAGTACTGTTCTTTAAATATAGTTTTTTTTTTATTCGCTCGGCAACTCTGCATGAAATAAGACGCTTTCTTGCAGAAAATTCTTGAAAAATAAATTTTTTTTCAACAAAAAAAAGA